CATAGGTAAACATTAATATTTTCAGAGTGTGTTGACCACTTTTTCTTATTTTATCTTAAATATTATGATATCATTTTTTGTACTGGAGGCTTAGATCTGATACATGTGAGCCAAACATCGCTCTATCCTTGCTTAACACCCAACGTCATTTTCTAGAGAAGTAGGGAAGAGGGGAATGACAGGGATGAGTAGTGTCTGGTCTCCGTCTGTTGACTCGATTACCCTCAATAATGATGGATAAGTAGTCATCCATTAATAGTATTGGATCCTTGAGATCTTGAGATAACTTAAGTGGAAATAGGAGAAGATAGTCAGCACCTATGGATTCTCCCTATATACGCCATTTTCCGACTTCCATTCGGGATCCCAAAGGAACTACGGAAATCTAGTCTGTATATTAACATGTTGCTAGTTAATCTGGTAATTTCTAACAATCAGCCGGTCATAGAGTATGAATTTTTTGGTAAGATTCGTTTTCGAGGGTAATCGAGAGGGAAAGAACTAAGGGATCTGAGTTGGGGTTCCTGGAAATAATTGAAATCTCCATAAAAGCTGAATGTCCATGGGAAATCGGAAGCCCAATAGTTTCCATATAATGAGATGAATGACATCGGCTAGGAAAAATACTTTGAAATGAATTTCGCCAGTTAGTTGATGCGGACCGAAATATCTCAAAGTGTAGGTAAGCATTAGATCGTATAACTCAAATCGAATAACCAAGTAATGTAGCATGAAGGCAATCGATGGACCTTTTCTTTCCGATTTTTTTTTNTTTTTTTTTCAATTTTTGAGATATACGAACCTGCCCTATGTACACCTGATGAGCAATTAGTTTTTTTGTCCTTATTCCAAGAATATGGCTGGAAGTTTCTTAATTACTTACTAATAGCCTGGCTCAATCATTTTCAACCGTTTTCTAAGTATTTCAGTCTATCTTGAACTGCCTGCTGTACCGAGTTCCCATTAGATTTGCGATAAGAATAGGTAGAGTAAACGAATTACTGGTAACGTATCCTACTGATTGATGTAATTATGGTAAAGTGGCCCAGTAAGCTCAATTACTCCTTCTTTCCTCAATTTTCATTTACTAATTCCTCTCCCTAAGTACAGACTCATAGAGCAGATGAATGTTCCAACTGAAAGTAATCGCTTTGTCTCGAAAAATCAACTGTCGAAGGCTGTCGCAGGTGTAAAATTGTTACCTAGTGTACTAGGAGACAAAGACTATACTTGACAAGTTACAGCTAGACGGTAAACATTACTAATCCTTCCTTTAGTGGTGCGCTACGAATACAATTCCCATTCAAAATCATTCAAGCGCTGGGATGATTACCGGAAATATTCTGTGACATCGGAATGACTCTGTTGCTCCCTTTTGTGACCCATTTTCTGGGAATCAAATATCTGCTTCACTGAGTGCCCCTCGTATTGAATTCTGGAAATTGTCAGGATTATCAAGTCCAATAGTTCTCTATCCCATTCCAGTCAACCATCTTTATCGAGCGGGTTCAACCCTGGACGGCTTGCTGATGTAGGTAAAGTGGGAAGTTCTGGCCCCCAAGTTCTCTTCGTTTTTTCAACTCAGTTCAATTGCACTGAAAATATGATATTACGAATTCCGACGTGCTCAAATGGGCTATTTATTCCATTCAATTCTATTATGACTGTTTCCTGGGCGTACAAATAGCTTGCACAGAAATCTGAGGTGGCGAACTCGTCCGAGACGGACGAGTTCTTTATGAAGGCTACCAGTGGCTGAAACTTGTTTATTGATTATACGTTTAAAATAGTTCTGAGAATCAAATTTGAGGCGGACGAGGTGGCAACTTTTATATGATTTGTGATCGGTGAAATAGCAACCTTCACCGGTCATGAATTTGTCAGGAGAATATGAATGATGCCCCTCATCTCACGAACACCACAACGGATCGCGCCCACGCGCTTTTCTTACAATGATTCACGAAGCGCTCGATTGTTGTCTTTGTTGCAGTAATGCCGTCATGGTGATTGCATCAATTAAAGCATTTCTAGCAATGCTGTAAGGGTCTTTGTTGTAGGCGATTGTTGTCTGGGTCTCTGTGGAAAAATAGCCCAATTCCCTGAATCAAAAGGTCATCGATTCATCAGGTGTTAATATGAGACCGGCAAAACGTTTGTGCTAATTAGCCGTTGGCATATGTGCGGTATTCCTTTTTACAGGATTTATTTGTTCAAGTAACAGTTGTCGTAATCCGTCCCAAAAGGCATTCCCTAATTGTCAATCGGTAACCCATTCTATGGGGGTGGTGTTACATTGCCTTTAGTAAGTTTACCCCATTTGCAGCATTCCTTGTATGGTATGCGTGCAAAGAATTTCCCACCACTCAGAAACTGGCTTCACTTATGGTGGTTTTTGTTGGGGAAGTGTTTGTGTGTGGTGGCGTCTACACACACACCCGTTACCGGATCCATTAAGTGTCGCTTCGTCGCCTTGTCAATTAGTGTCGGAAAAGAACGCGACCGGAAGTGAACGGTATGTCGGCGGGGTGCTTCTGGCCTTTGTTCCATTCCACACGTCATGTGTTTCAATGAGGGGTAGGTGGAGGTTGCGTAACGTAAGAAGCCGAGCGTGAATGCGCAATCGTCGAGTGCTTTACGTGGGTGATCTCATGGAGGTGGATCTACTCTACTTAGCTCATGGCGTCAGAATGTCTAACGAATAAATCACTTTTTCGGGTCGGCATATACTTCTTTAGCGAACGTTCCTCCGTGGGTGGAAACACAGTGCTATTTTTGTCTGGGTGACCTGTTATCGAGAAGAGATGATCAGGCTGATTTGAGAAAACGATTTATTACAGGAAGTGCATCTGTTGGAATGACAAAAAGTGCAAGGCTGCACACTTTCTTTACACTTGCCCCATTTGGAATGATCAACTGGCTACGGTCCCGGCGGTTCTGCCCTATCTTGTTTACGCTTCTCTTATGGAAAATTTATGCCTACGATGAAGTGAAGAGAATCTCTTCTCCTTCCATCACTACGGCTGAGTTTAGAGAACTAGCAGTTGTGAGCGGCTGGTCGGCAAATCGGCATAGACGCAGTCTAGTGTCAGAAGTGCTCTTAAGTCGACGTCTTCGTGGGCCAAATCCACGCAACCCTTGGTCAAGATTCATCTCACCGGGCTCATATATTTCCATCTCCCATTACGCTTCCCTCCGGCTCATCCTTCAGAAATTATGGCGTCAACTGGAATAATCATCGGATGAGGTGTTACCGAATGACGTAAGTGACGCGAACGTAACGTAACGCATCGTTTTGAGACAGGTGTGCTGTGGTGATAATTGTGGTGCATGCAAAGCGGTCATCTGTCCACTAGCAACTGTGCTTTTACAAAACGGAAAAAACTGCCCATGTGCAAGAGAGACATTTAGCTTATGGGACGCTGATTTTTTTGTCGGGCAATTTCTCAAATTAGCGTGCCTGCTGTCGATTCCCTACGAAATACGAGAACTAAATGTGTGACTGCTGAATGTCGGAGCTGACTTCGACAAGAAATAAGCCACTATAGGTTGGCTCAATTGTGAGAGCCTGAATGAAACAAGAGGCGCATGCGTCCTATTTTCGCTGGTTACTGTAAGAGCAATTGAAAGCCAGCTCAAATAACAAAGATATAAGGCTTCCCGCTAATCACTGACATAAACTTATCCTATAATTAAGCAGCTGCAAGGTATAGATTTAGTTTTTAGGGTTTGATCTGTATCCTATGGAAAGTTAATGAATATATATATGTAGCCCACGGGGTGAATCATGAAATCACTTCAGGTGCTCAGAGTTTCTTGGGGTCTGCTTTTTCCACGATAGAATTGAAGATTCTGATGGAATCCCCTGTATCGTCACGGCCATTTCTGGTTTTTTCGGTAGCTTCTACATGGAAGAAGGAAAGGTGAAGAAGAAATTTCCCTCCAGAATTTAAAATCCACTTGAACTCATTCCCTTCAAAGTGTCAGCCTTCAGGGTCATTCAATCAATTAGTTACCTAAGTACAGTGGAGGCGTGTTTGGGTCTTCCCAGAATGAGCAAGTAAGACGAGCTTTAAGCAATTTCAGTAGGTAAACATGTTGATAAGTCTGTATGGATGGATGATTCAAGCTGAGAAATCCTCAGCTTAATAATAGACCATTTGTTGTACAAGCTTATTGTCGGAACTTGTTGACGAGCATTGTTTACAGTATGTTTAGGCATGCTTATTCATATCGGGCGAGATTGCTAGCTGTTCCACTGGGCTTACTGAATGGGACTCCCGGCAGAATCTTTTTGGGGAACGTCTGACTGTGTTCTCTTCTCAGCCTACTATCTCTTCCTCTTTTTCTTCTCTGCTTAGTCATTATTGTTTTTACCTATTGGACTCTTGAGGCAAACATCTGGGTGAGAAGTGTTTTGACTTTGGTGTAATCCGATTTGTCTGGCGGGAAGTGAATGGCTTAGACCACATCATCGGCTGAAGCGATGCTTGAACTGTTTGGCATTTCCGGGTGCCAAAGGTATGCTTATCCGATGGCTATCGCAATTTCCTCTGTTGTGTAATATCAACTTCACGTCGTAGGAAATATGAAACGTTTCCGGTGTATATGCCCCCGGTGGCCAGGCAGAGAGCCTTCCCAAACTTTATTGCAACAAGAATCCGGGTTAGTTACAACGATTCGACACCTGTTTTTCATTATCGAGAACATGTTGTGTTGTGGGTGGCAACTAGACAGGAATGAGTAATCTCTATCGGGTCGTAAGCTAGCTAACTGCAGCAAGAATCAAAGGCCACAGTGGTTTCTGCTTCGTGTCAACTGTAGACGAGGTTTCAAAAAGACCAGACTATTGTCTTCCACTGAAAGAGTTATTTACACCATGGAGCAACCGGAAAAGCTGAGTCAACACAGAATTGTATTGCTCTGAATTGTACAATTCCAAATTGGAGTATTAGTTGTACCTTGACTGTTGGACAAAGACAGCTCGCGCCAATTTCCCATGCCTACGCCTAGACCGCATTATGAGAAGGGACAGTAAGTTGTGGTAGCCTGCCCAGGTCACGATTGGAGGGGGAAGAGCAGGTCCTAGTGACCTGGATGGTCCATTTGACTCTCAGTTAAGCAAAAAGTGGCTTCTCAGGTATATTTGTATCAAAATTTTGAAGCTGAGGGGCCCGAGACACAAAGGACCGAGCAATTCATTTCCAATTTTTGGGTTGCAAATGTCCCTATCTTGGGGTGAGTGGTGTGGTGACATTCTTCTGCGTCATCCAGACGACAAGTTATCCTCCTCGGATAAAGTTATCCTCCCAAGTTATTCTTGAAAAGGAGATTAGCGCCGATCCAATTTACTGTGCGAATGTGGGGAACCATGAGATTTGAGACCCGGAGGACAGAGTAGAACAGGAGCAGATCCCCTAGCAGGCCAATCTGAGGGATTATACAGAGGTGTTTTTCATAGTCAGAATCGGTTTATGATTCAGGATATTCAACGTTCCCGATGGACTCGCTGTTGAGAAAAGTGATCTATTAAGTCCACCCCTGCCGAGGAACTTCATGATTTCCCCCTTCGAACCATGGATTCATAAAAGGCTCCTGCATCGTACCAATATGTCCTAGTGGCATGGCATCCCGTGTCTTTGAGTTTTTCATGAGGAAGAAAAAAGCTTTTGCAGGAGCTAATCTCGTTTTTGCATGACTCTGATGAAGTCTGTGAGTCACTGAAGGGAAAGCTGCTTGCATGGCAATCGTATGAGAGCCATATGAGTCATCGTTCATTAACTGGCTACATATTAATAACGCTGCGGCATATTCCCTCGTAAAATACCTCATGCAGGGGATTACTGTATAGTTCTGCCGTTATTGAAAAAGCTGTGGGTGGTGACCTGAGATATTCATTGATGGCCATTAATCCGACTAGTAACTCCTGTGGGTCGTTTGTCCTCAGACATTCACCTCGAAGGAATATCTTGCTCATTGTTTGCTCATTGACGACAACATAGTACTTAACGAAAGAGCCTACAGTTTTCTGAGAACTCAAAAACATGAAACCAGACTGTTCCATGCTTGCTGTCCCCTGTTGTGCTCAGAAGGAATTTCTGCTCCTCTCTTTTTTAGGCTTTGTTTCGTTTCGCTTACACGGTTCGCCGCTGGCGAAGCTCGCTCCTCAACGAGTCTGCTACAGGTCTCGTAGGGTTAAAATCATCTCAGTTTTTCTTTCCGAAAATCGATTTCCACCAGATGTCCTCGTTCCGCACGACATTCCTTCCATCTGTGCGTCCGTCGTGTGTAGGTGGTAGCCAGATTTTAGTGTCTCTGTCTTCCGTCTCTTTGCAAGTGTGGGCGAGCACTGTCGGCCGCGTCGTTCCACCGCCACCGCATCGACTACGTCGTTGTGTTTTCTTCGTGTCATCGTCGTTGTCATACTGTCTGGAATAGCACACATTCATAAACGTCATTTAAAGATTTGGCCCTAATCCAATGGAACCTATTGTTCCAGATCAGCCCGGTCATTCTGGCGCAGGGAGCTAGCCTACAGACGGGGTTCATGCAGATGGTTCGTTACTGTACTTGGTAGTCAGAGTTTTTGCAAGGGTACTGTGACGTCAAGGTTCCTCTTCTTTGCTCATTCTATGCCGGACGTGATTCCGTGCGGTATCTTTGCACGTCGTCTGCTCGCCTACCCCTGTTTAGTGCTGTTTACCAAATCGTTTTGCTGTCTCAATCCGGTTTCTCGCCGCACTTTACAGATCATTTAGGCGAATGTGCTAAATCAACCTACGTTATTCGTCTGTCGTTTGTTTGCCAAAAAAGAAATGACTTCAGTCAGTCTCTTACAGCCCAACTGTTAACTGGTTGATATTTTTGTGAGTATTTAGTCGAATAATATGCCGCCCTATCCCGTAGTCATCAGAATCAGCTGCGTTATAGTAAAACATCTCAGTCTAGACAGACCCTTTACCCCTTTTTGGACTTGAGACCATAAATCGAATAGATACGGTTTGTTGGAGGCTTTGATCCTGCCCTTCTATGGGAATGATCAGTTGGAAATTGAGTTGAGGCACTCTACTGACTGGTTTTGGAGTGTCTATGGTATACCCTTGACTAATTTTTTGGTTTCTACATTTCCTTAATCTGTTTGAGGGATAACTCGGCTATTCAGGGCAGCTTTATCGTCGTCTAGGAAAGCCTCTCCTAGCAGTAGTAGCACGAGTTGGCTTTTTTCGTGGCTCTGGGCAGATATTTCGTTGGTAATAGTTTTTAGCGACCTTACTAGAAAACCATCACGGTGCAGGTGGTCGTGATGAAGGATGAGTCCCAGATCCATACCGGTGATCCTAGTTCTATGGGCATATGGATTGCTTGATTATAAACGGTCGGCGAAGTTAACTCTGTTTTTGACCCAAAGAAGATAGTGTTCATGACGAAAATCCAAATGACGTAGACCTGAGCCATGCACCCGAACCTTTCAGTACTAGCGCCACGCTAAACGTCATGTCCTCCCGTTGCCTAGCAAGTACAGTTTGGTATTGGAGAATAATTGGTAATTCAAAATGCAACTCACTTACATCATTGAAAAATGAATCATTCTCATTCCCGAGCCCCCAAAGTTCATTGCACTTGGGGGCTGACATCAAATGTTGCGTGCTGGAATTGCATTTGTTGAGATTTATTCATCACATCACTCACACCAATAAGAACCCAACCATTTGGTTTATCAGCTCGTCAGCTGTGAATCCCACAGAGCCCATGTGAGTCGTCACGAACTCTGCCCCCACTCTGATGATATATGATATTTGGTGATTGAGCCTTGAAAATGTTTCTTGTTGATGATCGGATGGTCCTTGGCGCTTTAGCGTATGCGCTATGTTTTTTAAACATTCCTCGGTTTCCGAGAAAAATGAGAACGCAAGTTTTTTTCGTCGCTATCGCTCTCCCCACATACCTCATCCCGAACCGTGGAACATCATCGCCACCTGATGCTCCTGGTGGGGATGGGCGGCTGAATAACGGCAGCATTTCAGAGAAAACGGGCTATGTACTTTCCGGTCACGAATTAACCATCCAGAAAAGGGATTTTCTCGCTGCCACTGACCTTTATGGCGATTCTTAATCATCGTTCGGCGAAAACAATCAGATCCAGCAAAATAGAGATGCAAACCTAGGAACTTCGGGAACGATTACGGGAGTGTAAAGTTTGCGAAAGCCAAGCGGCAGAATACGGCTCTGAGTAGAGCCCTTTTTCGGCTGTAGAAGCGGAAAGAAGACACGTTTCTAGGTCGCCTTCAGGTCCAGGAGACCTCTGACCTCAGCTTTGACCAGTACTTATTCGAAAGAAATCAGAGGGTTATCCAAATAGATACCATCCGGCTTTGTAATATAACAGGTACCAGTCTGGAAGATCAGCTTTTTTCCTGTTTGAAGCCACTGGCCCTTCCGTAGGCGCCGAGCTCCTTCATTTCCATTTTCGGTAGTCCTCTGGAGGGAAGTTTGAATAAATGCCAGAGGATGAGCAGTGGATGGGAACGATTGTTAGAATCAGCTGATTGTTTTGATTGGAATTGGTACTTGAGAGGTGTAACAAGCCTGATTACAGAGGCTCAGCTTCTGCTAAAATTTTTGGAAAGGGTAATCTCGATCTTGAGGGAGGAAGTAACACGTGAGGGTGGAAATAACAATTGAAGATCACACCTGAGCAGGAAGCTTGTGTCCAGTCCATGATGATAACAAGTTCTCGAGTTTGCAAAATTGCAAAATTGCAGCTTACCAAGCAAAGAGTTCAAATGGCAAAACAACATTTTTCACATTTCTGACTAGACAATGTTGTCGATGTCTGGGTGAAGAAGTCGTCCCTGTGGCAACTGATAGGTTATTCGAGTGAAAAGTTCCCCAGAAGTGCTGAAGTTCAGTTAGTACTCTGGCGTGGGGTGTGGTTGTGATGGCTGGTGATTTGGGGCGGTGTGGTCACAAGGTGTTGAGAGCCGAGCCGCTGACAAGCCAACACGAACGCTCTGCTGCTGCTGCTGCTGCTCCCAAACTGCTTCATTTCTGTTTTCGCTGACTGGCAATTCCATCAGCAACCAAGACGACGACGAGGACCAAAACGACGATTATCACTGCCCCTATTGGCAGTCGTTTTCGCTTCATCGTCGCTGATACCACCATGTATTCGATGATTTGGCTGATTCGTCGCAGTTCTAAAGGCGTTCTTGAGTGTGACGTGGTAAGTGCGCTCTGATACGCATTCGTTACGTTACGTTCCATGCGTTGTTTTACGTTCCATTGAACGACGTCATGCTGACCGGCCTGAGTCACAGCACTGGATGTCGCAGAACCAAAGAATTGAGCAGTCCAGTGATGCTCCTATGTCACGGGCTCCTAGGTATACCTGTGGGCTGTCAACTGTCTTTGTCCAAAAGCGATCATTTACTGGTAGAGCAAGGGAAATCAGTAAGCCTTAGCAAAATCTCCTATTTATTCTATTTGTCTATAAATTTATTCCGATTCTGGTGTTCCGAGAAATCCAAAGTGAGGCTCGTTGTACCGAGGGGATTCAAGAAGAATTAAGTCGCCAAGAAAAGACTGTTTACCCTCTTGGCTTCACTTCCTACACATTACGGTCGGTCTTGAATCTAAATTTAGCGGTTTTTTCTATATTTCCGTTGAACAATCCATTCGAGATCAGGCCATTAAAAGTGCATTGCATGCTTCGTAACGACTTGTTCGAATGTGATTGCATGACTGCGTCTACGTTCTTTGGAACCAGTTCTGAAGGTCCTTCAAAAATGTTTCCCAAAGAGTTCAGTGTTAGAGAATCTCTTGGCTTAGCTTGCTACTTTGTTTCGAAAAGCGATATACGATAGTAAGGCCCTACAACCTAGCTGCCGACAGGATCCGTGGCGTTCTGCTTCATCGTTAGATAATGTTCAACAGCTGTTCATAGGTGGATATGTTGCATCAAACGGAGGTTTTTGTATCTGTAATCTCTTTGTCAAACATATTGTGCTATCTCTATGATCACTATTTCCATGGCCTGGGAGATTTGCTCCCACATTCTCAATTTTCTTCATAATGTCGCCATTTTCGAGCTTACTAATCTCTGAATTCTCAGCGCTTTTCGGTGTCTGCCCGAGAAATCAAATGTGGTATCGGAACTGTGTCTCTACGGGCTCTCTGGCTCAAATCAGTTTTTCTCGAATAGTCGATTTTCAGTGCTCTCCTTGTACTTCTTGTTTCTGCACTGTTTGTGGAGCTTCAGCTTGATCAGACCTTTTACATTACCCTTTTGTCTGATTTAATCATTCAAGAGCGAGAATGAACGAGTAATCCCATTTTCTGAGGCCGTAGTTATGATGGACCACAGTGAGGGTGATTGATAGGAAGACGTGGGTGGGTGAAGGATGAACGATGACGGTGAGTTAGTTGACATTGTCATTAAGAAAAGACCGGTTCCTTCTTCCTCTGCTCCCAAAAAGTACACTTCCGGGGCCTGTCGGCCGTGGTGGCATATATTTCCTACCACCCTTATCATCTCGCAAAGCGATAACTATTCTATGCCACCATTCTATGTATGGGAAATTGCTATCCGGTTCTGTAATTGAATCATGTAGGGTCGTAGTCTGAGCATTCCTTCAGAAGGGTCACTTGGATCCTACACTGATCATCCTTTCATAAACCGGGAAGCACCAGAGAAATCTATCTTCTGGGGACGTGGCAGGAGTTTTCTCCATCTGTAGCATGGAAATGCCCCCCTCCTGCCATCCGGCTGCCGGAAGAGCGAAGAGTGGTTCCAAAAAGTTGACGATCGAATCGTGGGTGTTAATGCAGCGATGGATAGATAGATAGAAGATACACGTGCCGTATGTTGTTTCAGACGGGCTGTATTGCTTTTCAGTACTTTTTGCGTTCACCAACGGCTGCTTCCTCCCTTGCAATTGCACATACACACACGCATTTTCTCTATATCTCATGGTCTCTCACTTCCGGGCAGCTGTTCAGCTCTTTAACACCGCAGCCATACCCTATCGCCTGACCGAACTTTTACCAGAGACTGAGAGGCGTATGGTGCCATCAATCCTTTGAGTTACCTCTGAATAATGGGTTTGGGTGGAAGTTGCGAAGAGAAGTCAGAAATGGATCGGTTTTCCTCCTCGTTGGTGTTAGCCATGAATTTGTCAATGAAGTTTTGAAGAAGTCGTTATGGGAGAAACCAGGCAACTGTAAAGAGTTTTGATGAAGGAAAACCGTAGTTATTACGACGTGCTGCTGATCTCCACGAAATGGACATAACATGTCAGTGATAAACCAGTCCCCTGTGTGGCATATACGATGATGTGACGCTTCCAGTTCATATCCGACGGGGAAATCCTCTTGCACCAAGCTTAACTTTGCAATCGTATCTGTCCGAGTTTTCTTCTCCGTTCCGCAACGGCAGTGACATCGAAACTTCCGGGTTCGCGCCTCCGCTGTAGCATATGATCGACCAACTGATTTTTCAGTCAGCACTTAGCTCATGTCATTGTAATAGCTTAGGTTGACATGGAAGCGGTATTCCTAGGGCATTTCACTTGCCTATTGAGCTGATCTGATAGGTTCATCTAAATTCTAATCCTTTTATTGTCTAGAGTCGACTCTCTGAGTTGGGGAAAGCATCCCTGAATAGTTCTAAGGTGCAACTTTTTCGTTTCTCGGGAGCGTCGGCGGTGTCCATACTCTCCAGCCTGTTCAGTTCCGATAATTGATTCGGTCCTCAAAAGTCGGTTCTAGTAAGACTAGTTGTAAGCCGGATTTCTATCCATACCATTTATTACTGCTTCAAATGGGTAGTTAAAAAATGTCGAAACCCCTGTTCTTTGTTTGTTCCTCCTACCTCGATTACCCGGCAGCACGATTTCCAGCTAATATTGACGGTAGCAAAGTTGCTTCGTCTGGGCTTTTGATCATTTGGCCTCTGAACGTAACGTGTGGAACGACATGTGCTAGTCTAGTACAGCTGATGTAGTCACGTTTTGTTTCCACAGAAGTAAACAAATCAATAAACAAATCAGATGAGTATTCAGTAAATGGCTCAAAGCTTGTGCCACTTGTCACGAAAAGGAAGGCTTATCTGCTGGTGGCATAAGTTTGTTCGGAAATTATAGAAGAAGAACGAAAAAAAAAA